CATGCTGTGCGGCTTTGCTGGGCCTCTATTATTTATGAACTACTTCTGTGAGGGGCAGGAATTAAGGGAACTTGAAAAACACATAGAAACACTTAGAAACGGAAGCGATCTTAAAGGTTAAAACCTACAGTTGTATCTTGGTTTGAAATTTGTTAGGGCCAGCCATTTATTGACTGCGGCTTTCCTGAATCGTAACCAAGTTTATGCTTGGGTCAAATATCCCTTAAACAGTTTTTAAATCTAAGGATAATGTTGGTAGCAAAAGAAACAATTTCTGTTTTCTTTTCTAGCTTTAATAATCCAGCACAGATTTTTTAAAAATTTGGAACATTTGCGTGGCTATTAACCTGCCTGAAATAGTCAGTCTGCTTTGTACGTCTTTAAATAGACCCACGGCTGTTCTTGGCTACCTGGGGTTCGGTTTTAGGTTTGCTTGTGAAATAAGCAGCAGGAACAGTCGAAATTTTTGTTTGCCCCTTTTAACAGTGTTGTGCGTTTCCAAAACAAATCCTACTTTTTAGGCTTAGGGATTAGACCTGGGTGTCAGGTAATAATCAGTCTCCAGAGAATGTTCTGGAGTTGGTTGTAGCTTTGCTCAAAAAAATCAGGAAGTATGAACAAAAAGTTCACCGATGTTTTGGAAAGGGAGGGCTAGGCTAGTCCCCGGAATTGTCAGGTGGCCTTTCTGAAAGGTCTGTAATGTTTTTGCATCTCTGGGGAAGGCTGACAGAAGCAGCTGTGTTGGAAGAGCTGGTGGCCAAGTCCCTGACTGACCCTCTGACCCGGGCAGGGAAGTAGGGCACTCTGCCTGCCTGTGGCTGGCGTGGTCATCTGAGCCTCTGCCTTCAGCCTTCAGCAACTTCTCCTTTTCAGGTATTTACAACATTGGTATTGACGAAAGCCAAACACCCTTCCTCACCAAGGCTACCATTTACCATGTGACTGTCAGAACAGAAAATACAAATAATCCTCTCAACATCTAAGTGACAAATATGCAAACTATTCTGGCCAGGTCCCAGTACTGTATTGGAAAGGTACTGGGAGGTGGGGGAGTTGTGTATAAAGACCTTGCATCTTCCCGCCTTCATCTGTGCCCCCCCGCCCCACTGTGGATTTTTGGTTTAAAAAACCATAAAAGATTTCTCTTAAAGGCCCCAAATTATAGCTCATATCATTTTATCAGATCTTGGCTATATTTTGTTAATCCACTTTAAAATAATTTTTCTTTTTCTTTCTGTTTTATTAAAATATTTTTGAGACTCTGTCTGAGTCACTTTATTGCCCTAGGTAAAGTGCTGTGGCATCAGCCTAGCTCACACCAACCTCAAGCTCCTGGGCTCAAATGATCCTCCTGCCTTAGCCTCTTGAGTAGCTGGGACTACAGGCGTAAGCCACAACACTCTACTGATTTTTCTACTTTTAGACAGGGACAGGGTCTCGCTTTTGCTCAGGTAGGTCTTGAACTCCTGAGTTCAAGGGATCCTTTCACTTCGGCCTCTGAGAGTGTTAGGATAACAAGTGTGAGCCACTGTGCCAGGCCTTAAATTCTTCTGAAGACTTAGTATACTGGACTTTAAGTAATCTTAGGATTTATGATGTCAAGTGGTGGTGGTTTTCCTTCTTTATCTTTTTATCTTTCAGCATTTATTTATTTTTGAGACAGGGTCTTGCTCTATTTCCTGGGCTAAAGTGCAGTGGCGTCATAGTCGCTTGCTGTAACCTCAGACTCCCAGGATCAAGTGATCCTCCTGTCTTCAACCTCTTGAGTAGCTGGGACTGTAGGTGCACACCATTATGCCCAGCTCAATTTTTAATTTTTTTGTAGAAATGGAGTCTGTTTTGCTCAGGTTGGTTTCAAACTCCATCCACCCAGTCCTCCTACCTCAACCTCCCAAAGTGCTAGGATTACAGGCCATAGCTGACCTAGACATTTAAATTAGAAGCTTCAACATTCCTCTAAAAGAATTTATATTATTTATTTTTTTAAGACAGTCTCTGTTGCCCAGATTAGAGTGCTGTGGTATCATCGTAGCTCACAGCAACCTCAAACTCTTGGGCTCAAGTGATCCTTCTGCCTCAGCCTCCCAAGTAGGTGAAACTACAGGGACCTGCCAAGTTGCTTTTTAATTTTTTTGTTTTTGCTCAGGCTTGTCTTGAACTCTTGAGCTCAAGTGATCCAGTTGCCTTGGCCTCCCAGAGTGCTAGGAGTATAGGTCTGAGTCACTGTACACCCGTCCCCTTTAAAAGAATTTAAATTATGGCTCGGCGCCTGTGGCTCAAGTGGCTAAGGCACCAGCCACATACACCTAAGGTGGCGGGTTCAAATCCAGCCCGGG